AATTCTCCTTATAAACATCTTCTATTAAGGGGTACAGATGTTTGTGGGTTTTTTTTGTTTTCTATAAGTTATTGGGGTAAAGGTGATATATATATATATATATATATGGCTACATGGATAAGTTCTTTAGTGGTGATTTGTGAGATTTTGGTGCATCCATCACTGAACAGTATACGCTGTACCATATTTGTAGTCTTTTATCCCTCACCCCCTGCCCACTCTTCCCCCCAAGTCCCCAGAGTTCATCGTATCATTATGCCTTTGCATCCTCATAGCTTAACTCCCACATATCAGTGAGACCATACAGTGTTTAGTTTTCCATTCCTGAGTTACTTCACTTAAAATAATAGACTCCAATCTCATCCAGGTCACTGCAAATGCTGTTAATTCATTCCTTTTTATGGCTGCATATTCCATCATATATATATACCACAGTTGCTTTGTCCACTTGTAGATTGATGGACATTTGGGTTGATTCCACGATTTTGCTACTGTGAATCGTGCCACTATAAACATGTATGTGCAAGTATCTTTTTTGAATTATGACTTCTCCTCTGGGTAGAAACCCAGGAGTGGGATTGCTGGATCAAATAGTAGTTCTACTGTTAATTTTTTAAGGAATCTCCACAGTTTTCCATAGTGGCTGTACTAGTTTACATTCCCACCAGCAGTGTAGAAGTATAAGGGATACAGATGTTTTATGATCCAATTTAGAATGCAATCAGTTGCTTTTTCAAAGGCAAGTGTTTATATAATATAGGACTTAAGTTTTAATTTAGCTTATATAGGTTCATCAAGAAGAATAATTACTGTAATTCCAAAACATAGCCCCAGGCAAGTGGGAACTCTGCAAATCTAACCCACAGCCTTTATAGGGAATGACATACTTTCGTTGATAACAACCCAAACTATCTTACTGAGTTGTTCCTCTTCAGTGTTTGGGATCTAAAACTGACATTTGAAGATACTAAATGACTCTTCCAAACATTGCTACCGCTTTTATTTCAGATTAAGACTCTAGGGCGATCATCGTCTTGGCGCCTGGATATACCACAATCATTAGTCTGTTCTCTGTGTACTTGTCAAAGGCATTTTTACTGTGGCTTCAGTTCATTGTGCTAATGGAAGAGACACACAGAGAAAACCACTAAGTGAAGCTGGAGCTATAACCAAACTTCACTGGAACCAATGTTTTCTACCAGTATCGCATTTCTCTACCATCTTTAATAAGGGCTATTTAGATAAGCCTTAGTCTGACCCTTGTCTAACAATGCTCCCAGAGTCAAGCAATGGGAAAGAGAAAGAAGATAAAACAAATGCAGTGTTCAGGTTGTGACACTGGCAAGCAAATCAGAATGCACATTCTTAGTGAATGTTGGCCAGAAAGGAGTCAGGGCTCTACCTTTGTGTGTGGCCTTCAGGACTTGCTGAAGGACACAATAAAATCAGTCCCTTTGTGCTGTATACCATCACGCAGGTTTTTAAAATTAAAAAATGTGGCAAACCAGCTAACTTGGCAAACTTGCCTATGTTTCCTATTAAAAAAGAAAAAGAGATCAGAGCCATGTTGTGAAGTCACACATCTGTGACAATGTTGAGGCTTAAATGACTGGAACTTGGACCGGAAATATTTTGCATATTGACAGAATTGTTGGCATGAGGCTACTGAGGCAGCGTTTGCTTGGTACCTTTGTTGAAGGATCTGTCATGTTTTCTGATAGTCACATTTGTTTTGCACTATACTTGGTCAGGTGGGACTTACTTCATTATTTAGAAACCAGTAGTCATTTGTTGCTGTGTAATCAGGCCATGTAATGACACCTCACAGATACAGCTGCTAATTCAGCTCTCAGGAAACTGACTATTTAAGATGGAAAAGTGATGAGTGAATGTAGTTATTTTACTTTCTGAACTCAGCGACTGAGATGAGAAGGCGGCTCGCTAATTAAGATAATTGTAAATGCTAAATATTGAGTTATTTTCAGGACTTTGATGGTCTTGTTTTATTGTTCCTACAGGACGGCAATGATTCAGATGAATTCATGTAAAAGGAGAAAAGGACCTTTGAAGAAGTGAATGTAGAGACAGTGGCAGACCTTTTGCTTTCATCTGTGTCCTGAAGCATAAAATACTACCAAAATTCCACCTTCATCCTACCCAGAAACGATTGATTGTGGACTTTTAAAAAAAACTGTACCTTTTTAGCTGACAGAAAAGGATCAGATATGTATAAATAGTTGAACTTGACAGCATATAACTTAAAGCGAAAATGTTTTTGCCAGGACATGTCTTGGTACCTTGTGAAAGCTTACTGCCCTTATTCTTGAGATAGACTTTAAAATGAACCAACTCTGAGAAGTACTTCTGTTGCTGTGGTCCATCCCTGAAAACAGATGTCTTGAAACACTTCATATTCTTAAAATAATCTTCACTTCTGTTAAGAAGAACATGTTGGTGGGTAATTATGCGAATGTCTCCCTGTCCCTGACTTCTTGATTAGAAAAAAGGACGTCTAGGTTTTGAAAAAGAGATTTTCAGAAGATTGTTGGCTTCAGTATTCACGTTCCATTGTGTCAGCTGGGACTGTGAGCTTAGTGACCCTCTCAGCTCAGCCTGTCCCGGCTTTTACGTCCTTGTTTCCTCTGAGCAGGGAACTCCATCTTAGTCTCATCATATTTAAAGAAATTGATGCTGTTCATCAAGGTGGGGCCTGTGGCAGTTATTGCCTGAGCGCCAAGTAAGCCAAACCATCTATGCAACAGCTTCTGGGCTCAGGAGTAATTTCTCCACACTGGGGTAAAATAGGAAGGAGTGCTCTACTGATCCTTTGGGAGATGTAGGTGACCTGATGTATGCCTTGGGATGCAGCATGAAGCAGAAATCCATATTGCAATTATGATTTTAGAAGGAACTAAGCATTTCATTAGCCAACCAAGTAATAATTTTCTTTACCCAGAAATCATATTTGAGTTGTAACCCCAGAGTTCAATTTCTTATTGTAGATTCAGCAACTTACTATGTAACATTACTTCTCACTTGAATCACTCACTGTCTGTGTGATTCTGAGCAGAAGACATCTTTTGATGACACTATATAAGGCAACCCCTGTAGAATGAGACAAAACAAGGAGGGAGAGAACAAAGCCTGTAGGACTAGAGGCATACACATGGACATTTTACTCACCCCACAGCAGCAAGAATTACCTGTAGCAGGTATTCCACCTGTAGTAGCACTTTGGAACTGTGGGCAAAACCAAAAGGCTAGTGTTCCTATTTGTTCCACGCTGGTGTATGGGGCTGAACTGGAAAATTCCCTGAGGCGTAATTCATTGGCCAAATTTTGAGAGGGTATAGATTACTTTAGAGATGAGTGGTTTTGTGTATGTGTCTAATGATATTCAGCTTGATGTTCTGCAATTTTAAAAGTTATAATAAATTATCTTTTTTTTAATCTGGAAGGACAGTGATAAATGAATTCTTAGAATTTGCTATGAAAAGAGTAGCCCCCATCTACAAGCTGGTTTTGAAGGAGATCTTGCTGTAAACCTCATTCATCATAGGCACAGTGTGACGGGTTCTGTCGGGGGCTATCATCTTTATCCTCCTCTGCTAAATGCCTCTTTCTTCCAGATGCGGACTGGGTCAAAGGGTTGCCCTTTCTCACACATACTCTTGATTGACTGTGAATTTGTAGCTGTGCTCCTTCCGTGCTTCCAAAGAGTCCAGCTGCTACAGAACTCCTCAGTGCCCCACATTGCAATACATGTAGACAGCACTTTTGAAGAGTACATACATTTTTACTGTAGTATGAGAGGTCTGGGGGCTCACATTTTAAACATTTCCTAACTCAGCTTACACTGGTTTAAAATGTTCAGGTCTCTCTGCTGAATTCTCTTGATGAATTCATAGCTCTCCAACCTCCTCTGTGCTGATTCCCACGCCCCCAACCCCCAGCCTCTGTGTTTTATTTTTTCCCCATCTCTGTTGGTCCCAAGGAAAGCAAGGACATTTTCTTTGGAGGACATAATAGGTTCATTGCCCACAGGTCAAATTGTTGGCATTGAACTCCTCTCATTTCTTGCTATTGGATTATTTCCTAAACGTTGGATAGGAGAGTTATATATTGTTGCTATTTTTATGAGCTGTGTCCTTGATCAAATCTCTGCTGTGGGTCTGAGTCACTTTGCTAACACAGTCTTCAGTTTCAATACTGATCAGCATGCAGGCGAGGCTCACGTTTAATTTACTTCACTAACTGCTGTATTATATTCTAATAGCTTTAGACTTCACATTTCTTATCCTCCTTTGTCTAGACTTGGGATCTTTGGGCAAGAGAGATTTGTTACAGTGGTTGGGCTGGAACAAATGTTGAGAAGTTTATCAGAAGGCATTGAGATTAGCCGAATAGGTGATAGACATTAAGAAACCCTTCAGTGTCCACGTGTTTTGTTGTACTGTCTTTAACTCGTTCTTGAAGCACAGATTTCAGTAAGCCTTTGAGCTGTTCAATGCCAGCAGTTTTCCCCCACTCAGGAAAGACGGTGTGAGCCATATACCCAGCAGGATGAGACGGGGAGAGTTTTAGCTGCAGCTTCTAGTGTAATAGCAAATCCCTTCCTCTCACCATTGCATCTGTCTGAGAGGGGAAGCTCTTGTTTTCCAAGCTGGAACTGTTTATGGGTAAAACTGAGCAGGGTAGCAAAATGGAAAAGGAACAATTTTCTAGTTTTTCCTGACTCATGATATTGAGGCCCGCTTTGCCTTTCATTTGCAGTACAGCATGTGAATAACAAATTTCTATATTCAAAATGATCATATTAGAGTGACTGCATGACCTTTGATTTTAAAGCAGACTAAAACCGGACCAGCCTACAGTGAAAAATATAAAATTAGAAACTTAAATTCCAAGCTAAATTTCAGCTTTGACTCACCTAACTCCAGTGAATAGGTGGCAGCTCAGAAACAAGGATGGTACCGCTGCTGCGGGAGCAAGCTCACATCCAGCTGGCACTTCGTGAGAGCTCTTTCCTGCCAGGCACGTGTGAGTTCCGCGTGGGCAAGACTTGCATGTGCACTCTGTTATTTCGAAAGGGAAATAATGCCAACCCCAGACGCAGCATGTCCTGAATGAATGATCTGTAAAATATAATAAAAGCTTATAGTTTGAGTAGAACTCTGTGTGTGTGAGAGAGATTTCACTTTTTACTTTTCTCCTGCAAGTCCCAGTCTACTGATGGGATGTGCCTGCTTATTTTAGGCAAGATGGGCACAGCTTACATCCCTATGTGATGATGCCATTCACACAGACACAGCAGGAGCAAATCATAGTAAAGGGAAGGATGCTCAAGAATTCCAGGGAGAGGCTTGAAGAACCCAGAGCTGCAAGTCCACGATACCTGAACACTAGCATTGGGAGTTTACAACTTGACCCTCTGCTCTCCCAGAATTCCTGGGAGTCTGCCTGAAATTTTGGCCAAGGCAAGCCTGCAAATGTGAAGACTTCCTGATGGTTTCATGGATGAATGCATGGCTGTGGATTGTGTTGTGTTTTGATAGATTTTCATCTTTTTTAGCATAGAACTTCCACTAATGTGAGAATGCTGGCGGGGAGGTCTTAGGGTCAAGGGAGTCACACAAACATGTAAGTTTTTCTTCCAGCTATAAAAGCATAATTGAATTCTTAAAGGTTTATTAGAGCACAGTTGGGTTACATTTTTAGTCAGCGCAATACCTGCATCCTTTGATTTTAACTCCCTTAGCTACTAGAGTTCTGGGGTTTAACTATTTAAGTAAATTAGTCTATATGGGGAATGTCGTTTGAAGCCAGAATTTTTATACAGAAAATTTTAGAGATGTGTGTATATACTAGATGGCTTAGCAGTACAATGAAGATACAAATACCTCCCTGATGCTGTCTTTTAACCTGGGTTTATCATTAGATTACACATACTTCTTTTTCTGTCTTACATTGATTGCTTAGTTTTGTCTGATTTCATTATTGTGTCAATTATTGGAGGGACTGTGAGCTTTCTACCTTAGTGGTGTGACTATAGGTCTACTTTGTAGCCAGATGAAAAAAGAAACGGGTCTCTGCCCTTGGCATGTGCTGTGTGGCACCAACCTGGCATTTTCTGCATTTCTTAATAGCCAAGGAATGGTGGCCAGAGGAAATGATTGGTCACTCTAGAAATCCATGCAGCTTCTCTAGTTCTCAAGCCTGGTGAGTGGGTGTCAATATTTAAAGCTGAAAAAGAATTCTGCAAAGTCAATGTTGTGTTTTGTTCCATCAATCCCATCTTGTAACCACTGCAGTGAAAACATAAGACTAACAGCCTGACATTTCACATCCTGTCTGGATGAGGCCTTAGCTGCTTGGACTCCTGCTGGTGTTCTGGTTTCTGCATTAGCAGTTTCCTTTCCATAGAGAAGGCTAATATTTGCTTATGATTTCAGAAGGGAACTTGGATCTTTAGGGTGGTAAAGGCTGATGTGTCAGACTTGAAGCGTTTTGACCCTTGATGAAGACACAGTGCAGGGTCAACAGATGAAAACCACAGTCTAAAAAGAGAAAATATCTGGGGCATCGTACAGTGCCCGGGAACCAGCCCAGCCTTGCCAGAATCGCCTTCCACTGTGAAGCCCTGATCTTCATGTAACATCCCTTCCAAACTCTGAAGTTTGTATTTTATTTTATGTACTCTGCATCAGTGAGGCTTACATAACATTGCAAAACTAGAATTGCTTTTAGAAGAGTCTTTGGAAATGGTTGAAAGGTCTGAAATAGACAAAGCTTACCAAAAAACCTTTTTTTTTTTTTTTTTTGAGACGGAGTCTCGCTGTGTCGCCCAGGCTGGAATGCAATGGTGAGATCTTGGCTCACTGCAACCTCTGCCTTCCAGGCCATTCTCCTGCCTCAGCCTCCCAAGTAGCTGGGATTACAGGCCCATGCCAACATGCCTGGCTGATTCTTGTGGTTTTAGTAGAGACAGGGTTTCACCATGTTGGCCAGGCTAGTCTCAAACTCATGACCTCAGGTAATCCACCTACCTGCCTCAGCCTCCCAAAGTGCTGGGATTGCAGGTGTGAGCCACCACACCCAGCCCCAAGAAGACTTTTACTGGTGCCTATGATTAGAAAATGTTTTGTGTTTTCAACAAGAAGGGGGCAGGGGGCTCAGGGCTCTTTTCTGCCAAGGTAGAGAGTTACCTGCCATGTTTAAAACCAGCCATTGGACTGAAGCTCTGACTCTAGTGGGTTGCACAGCCAGTGCCACAGTCTGAGATGAACCCTGAATGATCCATCCCAGTGGAGGAAGGGCACAACCCACCACTAGAGGGGTGGGACTGGGCCACATGTTTTAACAAAAAACACAGGAAGCCTACATAGCAACGGGACAGCATTCTTGACAACCCAGCAATGCCTACAGATCAGTGGAAGAGGAGGGCCTAATCTCCCAGTATAAACAAAAGGCACAGGAAGCTTCCCTAGTAACCTGAAGGAGTCCCTAGAAACCCAGTAGCACCTCCACAGGCAGACAAGTGACCTCATCAAGCAACTCCCTGACACCACAGCCAAGTAAATCCACAAAGATGGGAAAAAACCAGTGCAAAAAAGATGAAACCATCAAAAACCAGAACACATCTTCTCCTTCAACGGATCACAACTCCTTAACAACACAGGATCACAACTTGACCGAGGAGTGCTATGAATTGACAGAAACAGACTTCAGAAGGTGGATAATAACAAACTTTCAGAGCTAAAGGAACACGTTCTAACTCAATGCAAAGAAACCAAAAACCTTTAAAAAAGGTTAGACAAATGTTAACTAGAATAACGAGCTTAGAGAAGAACATAAACCACTTGATGAAGTTGAAAAACACAGCACAAGAACTACGTGAAGCGAACACAAGTTTTAATAGCCAGATCGATCAAGCAGAAGAAAGGATATCAGAGATTGAAGATCAACTCAATGAAATAAAAAGAGAAGGCAAGACAAGAGAAAAAAGAGTGAAAAGAAATGAACAAAGCCTCCAAGAAACATGGGATTATGTGAAAAGACCTAATCTACGCTTGATCGGTGTACTTGAATATGATGGGGAGAATGAATCCAAGCTGGAAAACACACTCCAGGATATTATCCAGGAGAACTTCCCAAGCCTAGCAAGGCAGTCCAAATTTCAAATTCAAGAAATACAGAGAACTCCACAAAGACTTTCCTCAAGAAGCAACCCCAAGGCACATAATCATCAGATTCACCAGGGTTGAAATGAAGGAAAAAATGCTAAGGGCAGCCAGAGAGAAAGGCCAGGTCACCCACAGAGGGAAGTCAATCAGACTCACAGCAGAAACCCTACAAGCCAGAAGAGGGTGGGGGCCAACATTCAACATCCTTAAAAGAACTTTCAGCCCAGAATCTCATATCCAGACAAACTAAGCTTTGAAAGTGAAGGAGAAATAAAATCCTTTACAGACAAGCAATTATTGAGAGCTTTTGTCACCACCAGACCTGCCCTACAAGAGCTCCTGAAAGAAACACTAAGCATGGAAAGGAACAAGTTCTAGTCACGGCAAAAGCAAACCAGTTGGCAAAGACCAAAAATGCAATGAAGAAAATAAGTCAACCAATGGGAAAGAAAACCAGCCAGTAACAAGATGGCAGAATCAAATCCACACATAACAATATTAACATTGAACGTAAGTGGCCTAAACACCCCAATCAAAAGACGCAGACTTGCAAACTGGATAAAAAGTAAGAACCCATCAGTGTGCTGTATTCAGGAAACCCATCTCACATACAAAGACACACAGAGACTCAAAATAAAGGGAAGGAAGAAGATTTACCAAGCAAATGGAGAACAAAAAGAATCAGGGGTTGCAATCCTAGTCTTTGATAAAATGGACTTCAAACCAACAAAGACCAAAAGAGACAAAGAAGGACACTACATAATGGTAAAGGGATCAATCCAACAGGAAGAGCTAACTATCCTAAATATATATGCCCCCAACACAGGAGCACCCAGATACATAAAGCAAGCTCTTAACGACCTAAAACAATATTTAGACTCCCACACAATAATAGTGGGAGACTTCAACACTCCACTGTCAATATTAGATCAATGAGACAGAAAATTAACAAAAACATCCAGGAATTGAACTCAGACCTGGACCAAGCAAACCTAATGGACATTTACAGAACTCTCTACCCCAAATCCACAGAATATACATTATTCTCAGCACCCCATCACATCTACTCCAAAATTGACCACATAATTGGAAGTAAATCACTCTCAGCAAATGCAAAACAACTGAAATCATTACAAACAGTCTCTCAGACCACAGTGCAATCAAGATAGAACTCAGAATTCAGAAACTAACTCAGAACTGCACAGTTTCATGGAAACTGAACAACTGGCTCTTGGATGCTGACTGGATAAACAATGAAATGAAGGCAGAAATAAAGATGTTCTTTGAAACCAATGAGAACAAAGACACAACATACCAGAATCTCTGGGACACATTTAAAGCAGTGCCTAGAGGAAAATATATAGCAATAAATGCCCACATGAGAAGCAAGGAAAGATTCAAAATTGACACCCTATTGTCAAAATTGAAAGAGCTAGAGGAGCAACATAAAAAACTCAAAACCTAGCAGAAGACAAGAAATAACTAAGATCAGAGCAGAACTGAAGGAGATAGAGACACAAAAAAACCTTCAAAAATTCAATAAATCCAGGAGCTGGTTTTTTGAAAAGATCAACAAAATAGGCAGACCACTAGCCAGATTAATAAAAAAGAAAAGAGAGAAGAATCAAATAGATGCAATAAAAAACGATAAAGGGGACATCATCACAGATTCCACAGAAATACAAACCATCATCAGAGATTATTACAAACAACTCTATCCACATAACTTAGTAAACCTGGAAGAAATTGATAAATTCCTGGACACTTGCATCCTCCCAAGCCTAAACAAGGAAGAAGCTGAAACCCTGAATAGACCAATAATGGGCTGAAGTTGAGGCAGCAATCAACAGCCTACCAACCAAAAAAAGCCCAGGTCCAGATGGGTTCACAGCCGAATTCTCCCAGACATACAAAGAGGAACTGGTACCGTTCCTTCTGAAATGATTCCAAACTCGTACCGTTCCTTCTGAAATGATTCCAAACAATCATCTCATTCCAAAAAGAGAGATTTCTTCCCAAATCATTTTATGAGACCAACATCATCCCGATAACAAAACCTGGCAGACTCAACAAGAAAAGAAAACTTCAAGCCAATATCCATGATGAACATAGATGCAAAAATCTTCAATAACATACTGGCAAGCTGATTGCAACAGCACATCAAAAAGCTTATTCACCATGATCAAGAAGGCTTCATCCCAGGGACGCAAGGCTGGTTCAACATACGCAAGTCTGTAAACATAATCCACCACATAAACATAACCAAAGACAAAAACCACATGATTATCTCAATAGATGCAGGGAAAGTCTTTGACAACATTCCACAGCCCTTTATGCTAAAAACCCACAATAAACTAGGTATTGATGGAATGTATCTCAAAATAATAAAAGCTATTTATGACAAACCCACAGCCAATATCATATGGAATGGGCAAAAACTGTAAGCATTCCCTTTGAAATCTGGCACTAGACAAGAATACCCTCTCTTACCACTCCTATTCCATTTAGTATTGGAAGTTCTAGCCACAGCAATCCGGCAAGAAAAAGAAATGAAGGGTATTCAATTAGGAAAGGAAGAAGTCAAATTGTCTCTATTTGCAGATGACATGATTGTATATTTAGAAGACCCCATGTCTCAGCCCAAAATCTCCTGAAACTGATAAGCAAATCCAGCAAAGTCTCAGGATACAAAATCAATGTGCAAAAATCACAAGCATTTCTATACACCAATAACAGACTTAAAGAGAGCCAAATCAAGAACGAACTGCCATTCACAATTGCTAAAAAGAGAATAAAATACCTAGGAATACAACTAACAAAGAATGTAAAGGACCTCTTCAAGGAGAACTACAAACCACTGCTCAACGAAATAAGAGGGGACACAAACATGGAGAAACATTCCATGCTCATGGTTAGGAAGAATCAATATGAAAATGGCCATACTGCCCAAAGTAATTTATAGATTCGATGCTATCCCATCAAGCTACCAATGACCTTCTTCACAGAACTGGAAAAACCTTAACCTTAAACTTCATATGGAACCAAAAGAGACCACATAGCAAAGTCAATTCTAAGCAAAAAGAACAAAGCTGGAGGCATCATACTACCTGACTTCAAACTATTCTATAAGGCTACAGTAATCAAAACAGCATGGTACTGGTACCAAAACAGAGATATAAACCAATGGAACAGAGCAGAGGCCTTGGAGGCAACACAACATATCTACAACCATCTGATCTTTGACAAACCTGACAAGAACAAGCAATGGGGAAGGGATTCCCTGTTTAATAAATGGTGTTGGGAAAACTGGCTAGCCATGTGCAGAAAGCAGAAACTGGACCCCTTCCTGACACCTTACACTAAAATTAACTCCAGATGGATTAAAGACTTAAACATAAGACCTAACACCAGAAAAACCCTAGAAGAAAATCTAGGCAAAACCATTCAGGACACTGGCATAGGCAAGAACTCATGACCAAAACACCAAAAGCATTGGCAACAAAAGCCAAAATAGACAAATGGGACCTAATCAAACTCCACAGCTTCTGCATGGCAAAAGAAACAGTCATTAGAGTGAGTTGGCAACCAACACAATGGGAAAAAATTTTTGCGATCTACCCATCTGACAAAGGGCTAATATCCAGAATCTACCAAGAACTAAAACAGATTTACAAGAAAAAAACAAACAAGCCCATTCAAAAGTGGGCAAAGGATATGAACAGACACTTTACAAAAGAAGACATATATAAAGCCAACAAACATATGAAAAAATGCTCATCATCACTGGTCATTAGAGAAATGCAAGTCAAAAGTACATCGAGATACCATCTCACACCAGTTAGAATGGCAATCATTAAAAAATCTGGAGACAACAGACACGGGAGAGGATGTGGAGAAATAGGAACACTTTTACACTGTTGGTGGGAGTGTAAATTAGTTCAACCATTGTGGAAGACAGTGTGGCGACTCCTCAAGGACCTAGAAATAGAAATTCCATTTGACCCAGCAATCCCATTACTGGGTATATATCCAAAGGATTATAAATCGTTCTACTCTAAGGACACATGTACACGAATGTCCATTGCAGCACTGTTTACAACAGCAAAGACTTGGAACCAAACCAAATGCCCATCAATGATAGACTGGCCAGGGAAAATGTGGCACATATACACCATGGAATATTATACAGCCATCAAAAACGATGAGTTCGTGTCCTTTATAGGGACACGGATGAACCTGGAAACCATCATTCTCCGCAAACTGACACAAGAACAGAAAATCAAACACTGCATATTCTCACTCATAGGCGGGTGTTGAACAATGAGAACACAGGGACACAGGGAGGGGAGCATCACACACTGGGGTCCGTGGGGAGTTGGGGAGAGATAGCATGGGGAGAAATGCCAGATATAGGTAATAGGGAGGAAGGCAGCACATCACACTGCCATGTGTGTACCTATGCAACTATCTTGCATGTTCTTCACATGTACCCCAAAACCTAAAATGCAATTAAAAAAAATAGTAGGGATTATCATATAAGGTATAATTTAAAAATCATTTTAGTTTGGTTTTGTCACTCATGATACCATGCACAGCAGGAAAGAATGAAGAATAGTAAAGAGGCAAACATGAGAGAGTTCTGGAAAGGGGCAGTTAGAGCAAGAGGGTAAGGATAATTACCATGAACAGCTCCTATTCAGTGAGTACTTATCACATCAGACAGCATGCTGAGCACTTTACACACACTACCTCATTTAATCAACCAAAAACTCCAGGAAGTAAACACTTGTACTGTCTCCACCGTATTATTTTTTTTGAGATGGAGCTTCACTCTTATCACCCAGGCAGGAGTGCAATAGCGGGATCTTGGCTCATTGCGACCTCCAGCTCCCGGATTAAAGCAATTCTCCTGCCTCAGCTTCCCGACTAGCTGGGATTATAGAGGCCCACCACCACACCTGGCTAATTTTTGTATTTTTAGTAGAGACATTATTTTGCCACGTTGGTTAGGCTGGTGTTTAACTCCTAGACCTCAAGTGGTCTGCCCACCTCGGCCTCCCAAAGTGCTGGGATTACAGGCGTGAGCCACTTCTCGGGGCCCTATTGTCTCCATATTAATTAATTAATTAATTAATTTTAATTTTATTCAGTCTCCATAGAGACTGTCAAAAATTGCCAATGCTGACTATATTGCAAGTTGTCATGGCGGGGTATTGGGAAAAGTTTTCAGTTAGCGATAATCGCGCCGTGGATAAACCTCACTGGCTACAATACTGCCACTGCGCAAAGCTTATTGTCTCCATTTTAAAGTTAAGCAACAGCTTGAGACAAATTCCCTAACCTGCTTAAGAACACGTCACAGAGGAGTGACACAGACAGATTTAAATCCAGATAGTCTGACCTCCTGTTACCAGAGCTTCCTGAGATATACATGTAAAGAACACAGTTACTGGCACATGGGAAATACGTAATAAGTCACAGCTATTGTAACTAAAAGGAGAAATAATTCAGAAAGGATTTTAGATAAGCAGTGGACATATGGCAGATGACTGAAGAAAAAAACATGGGAGAAAAAGGAAGAATATGACCAGTTTTCCCTTAAAGGCATTTCAGCATTTTATTGCTAAATAGGCGTTCTCCAGGGAAACAGCTGATGTTGAAGGGACTAAGGTACAGATGTTAGAAGTCCCATCATACCTCTACAGTCCCTGAAAATATCAAGCAGACCCTCGCTCTGCGAATGGTTCACTGAATGTGCCCAAAGCTGTCCCTTACTGACCCCATTTGGGGATGGTGTGTTTGATACGATGAAGTTTCTAACAGCGAATGTCCTTCCTGCCTGTTTCCGTGTAGACGGTAAGATCCAGTCCTTGCTCTCCTGAAATAAGCCCCGAATTCCATTTCCTCATTTTATGATCCCTGATACTCACAGGTGGACTAAATAAAAGGCTGACTGGAGCAAAGGGATTCGATCTGGGATGCTTACCTGCTCCAGCCTTTCAATGAGCTCTGCAGGAGTTAGGGCCACCTCTTCACTACCCCCATCAGAGTCCTGTCCCAAGAAATCTGGTTCTTCTGTCATCATCTTCATCTAATCTGCAATGCGTTTTCCATTTATTTGCAAGAATAGACATCTACCTGGAGAAGGGAAAGATTTATTGCGGTTTCCTGGGGTTGTGGAGGCCCCATTAGCAAGTGACAAGAGAACGCAGGGGCTGTAGTGTTCCGGTGTCTGCCTCTTCCTCCAAGGCTTAGGTCAGGTATCGGTTTCTCAAACGGGCCTTCCCTTTGTAACTGTCCGCCAGGAACTGAGCACCTATCACACCATACAATCACTATTCATTTCTTTGACTTCCTGGTAAGTTTGTTTCTTAGGGTCGGGGTTCGTTTTAGTGCCTGGCACTAAGCACTGGGGACGCAATGACCTGGGGGGAGCCCCAGCGCTCAGCACAGTGTTTGACCCCTATCAAGCACTTAACATCGTTGGGAGCTGGCCGGTTCACGCCTGTAATCCCAACACTTTGGGAGGCCGAGGCGGGAAGTTACCTTGAACCCAGGAGTTCGAGACCAGCTTGGGCAACATAGGGAGTTCCTGTCTCTATAAAAATAAAAATTGTTAGGTGGATTCGTCCATACTAATTTCCCAGAGCCACAGGGCCCGGCGACACAGACCAGTCGATGACCCCAAAGGCCTAAGGAGGCGGGTGGCGGGAACGAGGAAAGTCCCTGGGGTCGCAGGGAAACTGCGAGCATCCCCCTCCCCTCCTCCCTCTCTGTGCCACTCACAAAGGCCCGGCCTCGCCACATAGAGGTCTCACTCGACGCTCACGCGGGGACCTGGGAAACAGCGAGGCACTCCAGAGCAGCAGGCGGTAAGGACTGGGAGTTCGTGGGGACGCAGTCGGGGCACTTGGAATCGGGAAGACAGAGGAGCAAACTGCTTGAGGCCTGCCCGGGACCAACCCGACTTCTCAGCTCCCGCGCTGCTCTCGGAAACTCTCCGCCCAGGCAACGTCACCGCTCAAGGGCGACGCTGACCAATCACGGAGCAGCGGTAAGAACGGGGCTGTCTCATTGACCCCGCCCACTCGAGGGGCGGGGCCTGTCTTCGCGGCGGCCCGCGGTCCCAGAAAGCCCCGTAGAAGAGGCGGTGGGAGGCTGGTCCCGCCCAACTGGGCCGGCCGCTCGGGTGTGGTTCTGGCTGCACTACCCATGACCGTCGGGAGGGGGCGCCCCGCCACCGCGGCTGAGAGGAGCGGCGGTGTCCGTCCCAGGGCCAGCAGGGTGCCAGCGCCCGGGTACTGAATTCCTGGGGCGCTGGCGGGTCCCACCCAGAAGTGCGCTGTTGGAAGCAGGCCGCTGCAACCTCCTGGGTCGTCTCCACCCACAGCTCCCGTGGCTCTTTGGGTTCCTTCGTCTTTGCAGGGTTTCAGCTGAGGTCACTATGGTCATTGCCTTCAGAATCTCTTTTTTTCTTTCTCGAGACAGGGTCTCTCTCTGGTGCCCAGGCTGGAGTGCAGTGGTATCATCACAGCTCACTGCAACGTCCGCCTCCCGGGCTCTAAGCAACCCTCCCACCTCCACCTCTCGAGTACCTGGGACCACAGGCCAGCACCACCACGCCCAGCTGTTTTAATTTTTTTTTTTTTTAAATAGAGCCGTGGGCGGGGAGAGTGGGGAGGGTTTTCCCTATGTTGACCAGGCTGGTCTCGAACTCCAGGACTCAATCGGTCCTCCCACCTTGGCCTCACAAAGTGGCCAGTGGTTCTTGAAGCCTGGGATCGGACGACCAGCAGCAGCATCGCCGAGGACTCTGCGAAAATGCAGATTCTCGGGCCCCACCCAGACCCACTGAATCAGAAACTCTGGGGGTGTTTCTGGTCACCTCCCGGTGACCCTGACGCAGGTGAGGTTTGAGAATCACTGCTTTGGGGCAATGCTTCCAACTCAGCTTCTGGAGGGGAAAAGCAAAAAAAAAACCCATGTTTGTATATGTATATATTTTTTCCATCTTTGTGTGATTCAGTTTTTCTTCTCTGAGTTGCTGATTCTTTTCTCTTTGCTGTCCTGTGTTTTCTGTGCGAAGCATTGCTTCTGACTTTCCTCAAAGTGTCTCTTCTCCATCAATCTGAAGGCTCTTTGTGAAGCTGCTCTATGATGTCATATTGATTGACTAGTAAAATGGTTGGCTAATATAGGAAGATCATATGTCTGATTACAGTCCTCTTACAAAAATGAGAATAGAATAAGCTGAGTAAGAGTGTGGGCATCTTTACAAAGGGCTGTATAAGCTGGGGGCATATCAATGTGGGACTCCCAAAAGGAAGGGACATTTGAGCTGTGTCTTACAAAATGAAATTTATGAGTGGCAAATAGGTGGTCATTTTGAGGTCTGTTTCAATGCTGTGTTTCAGTGGTTTGGTAATCCAGTGGTTTTTGGTTGTGGCAGAGTATGTTTCCCAAACGCAGCTGCTCTGATATGGATCTCATCCCACATATTCTTCTTACCATGTGATATTGACACTCCTCCCTCAAGAGGTAGGGTCTGTGTTCTCACCTTTTTATTTATTTATTTAGAGACAGGGTCTCACTCTGTTGCCCAGGCTGCAGTGCAGTGGTGTGGTCACAGCTTTCTGCAGCCTTGACCTCCCTGGGCTCAGGTGATCCTCCCATCTCAGCCCTCATGAGTAGCTGGGACTATGGGTATACACCATCATGTCCCGCTAATTTTGTGTATTTTTGGTAGAGATGAGGTTTCATCATGTTGCTCAGCTTGTCTTGAACTCAGGTTCAAGTGATCCACCCACCTTGGCCTCCCAAAGTGCTGGGATTACAGGTGTGAGCCACTGCACCTGGCCCTGTCTTGCCTTTTAAATCAGGAAAGACCTTTTTTACTGCTCTGACCAAGAGAATTTGGCAGAAGTGATGTGGCCTGGCTTCCCGGACTAAGTCATAAAAAGCAATTTGGCCCCCACTTGGCTCTCTTTTCTGGAGCCCTGTCCCTTGGGAGCTGTGGGCTGACATGGAAGAAGTCTGGCTAGTCTGCAGTTGATGTGCAAGAGAGTTCATGTGAAGATGCCAGGAAGAGATGGGGAGCTATACTGGAGGAACCCCAGCACCCCAGCTGTCCCATCCTCCAGATGCTGGGTTGAAGGAGCCTTCAGGTGATTCTAGCTCTGAGGCTTCAAACTGTCCCAGCTAAGATGGAAGGGAGCAGAGATGAGCTTCCCTGCTGAGCCCTGCCCAAATGGCAGACTTGTGAGCAAAATAAATATTGTTGTACCTTTAAGCCCTATGTTTTGGAGTGGTTTGTTACGTAGCATTACATGACTGGAACAGCGGTCTTTGAGCACAATCCCATTCTTCCATAATTCTCAGCACCAAATAGCTTTTCGGTGATGTTTATTAATACTCCTTAAGTGTTACAGATTTGAGTCCAAGCACAGATAACTTCTCTACACAAGTGCCGATTATGTAGTTTATTGATTTAAAGACTTCCCTTCTCTGGGACCAACCACCTTTTCCAATCTCCCCCGCTTCATCATTGATTGGAGAGCTGGAGTCCAGCTTCTGCTTCACTACTTAATAGGGGTGTGACTTTAAACAAGTCACATATCTGTACTTCAGTTACACCACCTTTTTCTTTTTTTTTTTTTTTTTTGAGACAGAGTTTTGCTCTTGTTGCCAGGCTGGAGTGCAGTGGCATGATCTTGGCTCACTGCAACCTCCACCTCCCAGGCTCAAGGGATCCTCCCAACTCAGCCTCCCAATCCGTTGGAACTAAGATTTTATGAAACAATTTATAACAGGGCCACAGTAAGTTCCAGGAGTGTGGTCAGGCATGCCTCCCTCCTCGCTGGACCCACAAGAAGCTTTCAGGGTTCTGGGAGAAAGATGCCCAGGGTGCAGAGGCCGGGGTGGGGAATCCACTGGCCTCAAAGGGGAGTGGGAGAAGGTTTTCTGAGGAAGCTGTGCCCAAGCTGAGATTCTTCCTCTTCCATGTGCTCCAGTGCAAGGCCCGCAGGAGCCCTGTGAGCAAGGCCAACCTAGACCCTTCGTGGGGGATTCCCTTGACAGCGAGGGAAGGGCATGGCCTGAGGAGCTGAGGGCAGTCTCAGAAGGACGGCATCAGAGGAACCCTCATCGTTTCTATCATCAACGCTTACAGTTTTGTATCCGCAGGGGGGTTGTGACTGGGTGATCTGGGGAAGGGTCTGTCATCGGGTCAGGGGTCGCTCTAAGTTGGATGTTGTCTGATGAAGGAGGCTTTTCTCTAAGTTAGACGCTGCCTGAAGGAGGAGGCTTGTCGCTAGGTTCGATGCTGTCTGATAGAGGAGGCCTGTCAATTGTTCAGTGTCTCAAGGAATCTTACCCGGAAGAGGGCAGAGGACTGCAAGGAGAAAGCCGTTGCTGGTAATGAGTTAGATGCCACTCATTTTAACCAAGTGAGTGCAGTGCTTGGTATTTTAGGGGGTGATAAACTGACCTTGATATATTTTCTCTTGGAGGTCTCTGTTAGAGTCACTGTGGGGTGGGTGGTCTCTGTGGAGATCTCCATGTTGGTTTTGCAGGGTCTCTGTGTGAGTCTCTGTCAGGGGTTTCTCTGCCAGGGGGAGTTTCTCTGGGGGGTCTTCATGGGGGGTCTCAGTCAGAATCTCTGTTAGGGCCTCAGGGGGTCACTGTGGGGAATCTGAAAGTCTCTGTGAATATGGGGGTCCCTTTGGGGCTCTCTGTGGGAATCTTCGAGTGTGGGGCTCTACATGGGGTCTCTGTGGGGTTCCTCTGCTGCAGGTCTTAGGACCCTGTGTCCCATAGATGTTGGGCCCACACTAGAGCTGCCCAGGTCACCATCCCAGACAGGACTTGGCTCCAGCAGTAGCCTGGATGCCCAAAGAGACACCAGAGCCTGTTCCCAACAGGTGCCCTGCATGGGTTCCACCAGGCCTGGGGACAGGCCTGTCCCCTCGTCCTCAGCCTCCATCACCCCTGCAGATATAAAGTGCTCCCTGGGCAGAAGGGCCCTGGGCAGAAGGGCCCTGGGCACAGCCCTTGGAAACTGGCTCTTGCCTGCTAAGCCCTTGCTCCTGCCTTTCCTGGGGATGCCCAGGAGGGACCAGCACCAGGACAGAGGGGGTGCAGGACCCTGCCCTGTGGGGACTGTCCCTGCCAACCATGTGACCAGATCCTTTGAGGCCCCATGTGTTCCCTGCCAGCACCTGGGCCTGGAGCCACAGATGTGCTGTGTGACCCAGGCCAGCCCTTGCCTTCAGGCTCCCCCTCCCCTGGGAGTGGCCCTGGCCACTTTTGGTTGTAGCGGTCACCAACCTGCGAGGACCCTGGTTACAGCAGCGGGCAGCTTGTGGGTCCTGCACTTGCAAACTTATGTTCATCTTCCCTGATTCTTCTCCCACCTCCCACCCTGGGCCTAAGGTCCCCTTTGCTGGTTCCTGACCACAGAGTCCCACCAGAGGGGCAGGCAGCAGCCCTGGGCACCCCTGACACGCCAACCCCACACTCATTAGTGGGCTGGGAGGCTCATCCTGGAGGCTGCTCTGGAGAATGAGCAGGTGGAGAGGCCCCACGTGGTGGCAGCCTCCTTCCACCAGGAGAGGTCCCCGGTGGGCTCCTCGGAGCGCCCAAGGCCAGAGATCACTGTGGTTGGAGCCGGCGGCTGCTGCTGGTGTGGAGGGGAGCTGTGGGGGCCAGGGCGTGTTGTGGAGCCACACGGAATTCCAATCAGGCTGGAGGCACGTGGGGGTGGAGAGGAGGCCGCGAGCCCATGGGGCTGTGGTGAAGGAGGAACAAGCGCATGTGTCCGGGGTGCACGGTGATTTAGGGGAGGCAAGGGCTCTGGTGGCCTGGCGGCACTCAGGGTTGAGTGTGATCCAAAAGGCTCTGAGGAGGTCGTCGGGCCTGGTGACAGCGGGGAGGCCAGAGCCGGGGAAGCTGGTGGGGACGGGCAGGATGAGGGACCCAGCAGCCGCGTGGGCCAAGTCAGAGGTAGGAGGAGGAGCTGGGACCTGTGACATGTAGGTGGCCTGGGGCAGGGAGGTGGGTGGGGTGGGGAGGTGGGGAGATGGGCTGGCTGGCACTGCAGTTTACCATATGTTCTTTATCCTCCCACGTTGCTTTTTCAGTCTCCTCAGCCATGCATTGCTACCTATCGCCCCCATGTTGTTTGTGAATCCTTCCAAGGATAGGCGGGGACGTTTAGCGGGTGAGGGCCCCTCGTCTCTGCCCCACCTCCATTGCTCGGGAGGGACCAGTGGCAGCTGCTGGGGTTGCCCTGACTGTTTTGCTTGGCTGGCAGCTCTCGGTGGAGGGGAGCTGCTTACTACTGGAGCCGCAGGATCCTTGCGCTGGGTCTGCTTCCCCCGGATCTGCAAGCCTGAGGCTGGGTAGCTGCTCTTTCTCCAGCACCTGAGAGGCCGCCTTCTCTGGCCAATGGGAGCAGCCGGGAACTGGGCCAGGAAGCACTGCTGGAGCTGGGTCAGGCTTCCCAAAGGGAAGGACACCTCCTGCAGGGCTGTGTGCTCTGGGCACTCCATGGGCCTTGGATTGGACACTTCCCTTTAAGGCCCTGGGACTGCAGTCGAGGGAAGCGAGGTTTCCCTGAGTCTCCAGGGGCCTCGAGCTAGATGCTGGTCCTTCATTCTTACAGGGCCCCCTTTCTCCTCCTCCTGCCCCTGGGTCTCTACCTCATCGTCCATTGGTTCTTCCATTGGTTCTTCCTGTGCTCCTTCTGCTATCACCTCCATTGGTTTTTCCGGTTCTTCTGCTGTCACCTCCATCGGGGCCGGCACTTGTAGCGAAGGCAGCCTCACGGGGCTCCTGTGTATGAAGCGGCTTGCAGACAGCACGACTTTCTTCCTTGAGGGGGCCCTCCACACCAGAGGAGGCAGGGCCTGCCGTAGGGCTCTCGAGGTTGGGGTGAAATTCCTTCCGGATGCAAAACGGGGCTGAAGACCTCGGTGATGACTCAAAAATTGAGCAGGGTGTCGGGTTCCCAGGTGAGGCACACACGCAGGAGCTGCAGGGTGAACCCGGCCAGCTGAAAAGTTCGAAGGAACAAGAGGAGACCACTGGGGTTGCCACTGCTGCTGGGGCCTGCGGTGGAACTGGTAAAAAAAAGCTCCTGCGTTTTCCCATATTGTGGGAAATTCCCACAGACAAAAGGTAAATGTCAGTAACAGAGAGTATACTCGTGAGTCTACGACCTGAGTGTACACCTGCTAGTCTGTGGCCAGTGGGCACTGGGCAGCTGGGCTTTTATGACATCACAGTAGGGCTGGTGACAGAGCAGGGTGTGGGGCAGTGCACAGGAGCCCAGCAAGAGCACATACAAGTTGAGTCAAAGGGCACAGGGCGAGGCTCCCCACCCGTCTAGCTGGACTCTAGCCCCACGGATGTCCTGCTCCTGGGGGCAGGTGTGTGGCCGTGGATGGGCCCCACCATGGGGCTGTGGGGCATGCATGGCTGATCTGCCAGAGCCCTTCCCACCTGGTGCCTGGCCCAGGCGCTGGCTGGCACCCAGTGGCCATGTCTTGGCCGGCCTTGTCCCCTGGGTTACAGGGCCAGACCCTGCTGGAAGCAGAGCTCAGGACTAGCCAGATCCTGCCAGGCTCCCCTAGGGCCTCAGTGCCTCTCTGCCGCCTAGAGCCAGGCCCGCCTTCTCCGTTGTGGTCCTGGCCTCTCCAGGCAGATTTCAGGAGAGGATGCGTGCCCTGGTTTGACTGGCTGCTGCTCCTTACCACTTCCCTTCCTGGCAGGCAGGGTCTCCACACAGCTCCATATCACCCCACACAGAGGAAACTGGGCCCCAGCACCTGCCCCTGGAAGGGCTGATGAGCCAGAGCCGGGGCCTATCTCCCACAGAACCCTGGCCCTCTCCTGAGCCTGTCCTCGCCCCTAAGCCCGGTGTTGGTTTGTGCCCTGAAGCTTCCTGCCCTCCCCACAGATGGTCTGGGAGCTGGGCATGGAATCCTCTGTGCACTCTCACCCCACCTGCCCTGCCCTGAGGGACCATGAGATTTCCCATCACAGGAGCGTCTCTCGTTGCTTAGGAAAAGTGGAAACCAGGGGAGGAAAACAAGAGAGAATCTTTCTCTGTAGGATAGGGGTGAGGGTGGGTCACTGCGGTGGTCGGGGAGTAATAGGCACGCACCCCAGTGAGGATAAGATCCATCACCCGGGGAGTGGAGCTGGGGCTCAGCCACGTGACACTAGGGCTCTTCAGAAGAAAGAGCATTTTTTCCATCTGAAGTGCAATGTCTCGTCAAGCAACTGAGCCTTGGGCATCCACTTTGGGACTAGGGACTGGGGCCCAGGCCTGCATCACATAGCTGGGGCCTCCTCCTCACAAAGGGCTCCTGAGTGCAGGGGAGGGGCAGTGGGAGGAGGAGGCTGAAGCACAGCCCCTCCTTTAGCTCCAGCCCCGGGTCCCTCCACCCCACTGGGTCTACCAGATCCTACTCCAGCAGCTCACCCTATCAGAGACAGGCCTGGGTCCATTTTCTATTCTGTCCCCTGGGACACCAGTGTCACCTTGTTCCCCTTGTCCCCTTAGAGATCTAGGGCTGAGCCCACCCATTTCATAGCCTTTGAAAGTCCGAAATTCTCCCAGGAATTCAGGTGGTTTCCTAAGGATTATTACAGAATCTCCTCTGTTCTCGTAATTTCCCCACGCCCTACGTTTTCTACTTTCATCAACCCGGGATAGAGCTTTGAAATTCACAAAACTAAAAAGTAAAATGAAAATACAAATGACATTTTTTTAATTAGGAACACAATTTTGAGTTACCCAATTATGGAGATTGCTGTAACAAAACCACAAAAACACAAACACTTTGACAAATTATGTTCAAAATAAGAATTAAGCCTTTACTTATTGTCTTTAGTATGTTGCCCTGATCCATTTCTCTTACTCTGCCCCAAATACAGTCCTCACTGTCCTGGGTTTTGGAACATGTGCGCTCCCACCATAAGCAAGGAGTGGCTTGAGAAGATCCGAGGTCCAGCTCCTGTGAGTGGAGAGCACCACATGCTTGGCTCAAGTCCAGCATTCAGCAGCCTCTTCTGGTCTCACTCATGTCCTCTATATATACCGTTTGCTTCACACCGTGTCCTGTCCTTCGCCTCCTGCCCACTCCAGACCCCTGGGGCCTGATATCTGGCCTGTACCTGATAGGAAAGATGCTTTGAGCCCTGGAGGAACTGTTCTCATTATACTATTAGACATCTTTTGGGCAGCAGAAACTCAGGATTAGAGATTGCACTGTTTAATCACCATATGATAAATTTCTGTAATACTTGAAAAGTGGCCTTGAAAATAATGTGTATCTTGGTCATGCGTTCTATATAGCCTCAATGGGAGTGAGACCATCTGAGTTTATTTGGGTCTGTTCTCATGAATGTGCACTTCAAGAGCATATCTTCTGCCTACAGTCTCTTCCTTTATGATATTGTCACTGCGGAGGCGTGACAGTCCCTGACACTCCCTAATATGGTCAATCGGGTTAACTGGCAAGAGTAGAGACCCCAGGGATGCCTGCTAGGATCACTGAGAAACATGGGGGTCCTAAGTTCTACTTCATTTGCAGGGACCCTAAGCCTGAGAAGTGGGTCTCACCTTGACTACATGATTGGGCTTGGGCATATAAGGAATCACCCGCCATCGGGGCCACTGCCAGCTCAGTAGGTGCACTCTGTGTGAGGAACAGGGACTGGAGAGCAGAGGCAAGAGGTCTCATTAATTCCACATTTAGGGAAGAGGTTTGTTTTAGATATCATTCCTCCTCAAACCTGATGCTCTCCTTTCCGGATAAACAAGAGGAGCGAATAGGTGTGGGGGTTCCCAGGCTCTGGTGGACTGCGTCCACATCTCCATCTATGCACCTCTCTTTCCTCCTCCACTCTGTGGGCTCAGCTCTCAACTGTTGTTCATCCAATCACCCATCCACCTGCCTGCTGCAAAGAGGACGCTTCCCAGAGCAGCCGCATGTTCCTGCTGCTTCGAGGGAAGTGAGCCTCAAGGCCCTTCCTTGACACCCCCCCCACCACCACACACACTTCAGACACAGTGGCGCCCACAACAGACCCCTGGGGGCTTTTGTGGGACACCACACAAACTTCAGAAGAACTGGGCCTCTCATCTCACCTGGGCTGACTGGGAGCCTTCTTTTGCCTTCTTGCGTTTGTCATTCATCTTTTACTACAGACAATTGCTATTCCTCCTGGTTCATGTAGGACCATCCTTCCTGCATTCCACAGGCTCCTGGTGCTCTCAGGAGGCATCTCCAGGGTCCTGGGAATCTTTCTGGTCTCTGATGTGGACTGGAATCGCAGCTTTGGTCTCCCCGACATTTCCACTGCAGGGAAGCGGAGGAAGGAGGAAGAATTCATTAGAAAATGAGAGCGAATTTCTCTTTGGAAGAACAGCTTCCCCTCCCCACCATAGTCTCTGATCACTCCTAAGCATCTAAAACAAACAAATACACCTACACAGACATTTCCTAATGTGAAGCTTAACTTCCTGGGAATATCTCTCGTGTTGCATACACATGAAATTCATGCACCTCAACTGCACAGTCTTATCACAGTCAATGGCTGTCTGCCTCAGTAGAGGCCTTGAGGTACATTTCATAGTGTGTGTGTTTTCTTTATATTTACAAATTTTACTTTTTATCCCCAAAATACATATAAATGAAAACCTGCTCTTCAAATGCAGGGAGGCCTTTGCCTAACATTGTCATATGAAAATCAGTATCAACCCTGTAGTCCCAGCTACTCAGGAGGCTGAGGCAGGAGAATTGCCTGAACCCAGGAGGCGGAGGTTGCGGTGAGCCGAGATCACGCCATTGCACTCCAGCCTGGGTAACAAGAGCGAAACTCCGTCTCAAAAAAAAAACCAAAAAAACAGTTTGCCTTTAGTGCCAAGCCCTGCTGGCTGGTTAACTCTGTGCTGCTGTCAGATTGCCATTCCATGTTTTTTGTTTTTTGTTTTTTTGAGACGGAGTTTTGCTCTTGTTACCCAGGCTGGAGTGCAATGGCGTGATCTCGGCTCATCGCAACCTCCGCCTCCTGGGTTCAGGCAATTCTCCTGCCTCAGCCTCCTGAGTAGCTGGGACAACAGGCACGCGCCACCAAGCCCAGCTAATTTTTTGTATTTTTAGTAGAGACAGGGTTTCACCACATTGACCAGGATGGTCTCGATATCTTGACCTCGTGATCCACCCGCCTCAGCTTCCCAAAGTGCTGGGATTACAGGCGTGAGCCACCACGCGTCATTCCATGTTAAATGCATAATCTGATAATGAAATTGTTAGGGTAAAGTCCACATTCTTAGACTTCAAAACCTCTGTAAGAGTAATGGGCAGGACATGGTAGTTCATGCAGGTAATCCCAGCATTTTGGGAGGCCAAGGCAGGAGGATCACTTGAGGCCAGGAGTTTGAGACTAGCCCGGGCTCACACAGTGAGACCCCAACTTCTACAAAAAATTTTAAAAATTAAAAAAGAAGGCCAGGTGCGATGGCTCACACCTGTAATCCAAGCACTTTGGAGGCCAAGGCGGGTGGATCACTTGAGGTCGGGAGTTCAAGACCAGCCTGGTCAACATGGTATAATCCCATTTTATTAAAAAAAAAAAGGTGGGGGGGGGAGAGCCAGGTGCAGGTGGCTCATGCCTGTAATCACAGCACTTTGGGA